TAGCCCCTCCCACAACTCCAGGCTCCGCCTTTACATATATATATCTGTATATCTTTACATATATATATATAAATATATAGATATATATATTTACACACACACTAAGTGGCCATTTCAATAATCACTCCTGTACACCTGCTCAGTAATACAACTAACCTATCCATTAATCAAGAGGTAGAAACTCACTTTTCAAATATCACAATGGGGTAGAATTAAGATAATTTGACCTTGAAATCTTTGCTTGCATATAATAAAGTTGTTTATCTCAGAAACTGCTTGGATTTTCACACAAAACGGTCTACAGAGAATGGTGTGAAACACAAATGCATTCAGTACAAGGCAGATCTTTAGGCAAGTGCCTTGTTAATGGCCAGACAACTGGTTCAAATTTTATAGTAAGGCAACAGAAACTGAAATGACCATATTGCCAATTAGCAATTACCATATTGATGCTATGTAGGAGACCATCTCTAAAAGCACAGCATAACAAACCTTGACTTGGATAGGATAGAGCAGTAGGACAGGCTGTAATTTGGCGGAATCTAAAAACGGGTTGTAGAAGACTGGAAAAACTGTTACCTGATCTGAAGAATTTCATTTATTGCTGCAACATGCATTTGGAAGGGTCAACTTTGTCTAACTGCCATGAATTAATTGATCCACCCTACTTTATGTTCATATTATAGAGGGAAAATAACATTGTAGCAGTTTAACTTGTTATTAGTAAGTCACCTAAAATTTCTCCCACTAGTCCGTCCCTGGCCACATTCCTAAAATTAAAGTGTCTATCTTTGTCCATTTGAAATGTTGGGAGTTATGAATTTTTTTTATACAATTTCTCCATTTTAAAATCAGAATAAGCTGACATATTTTTGAAAATTGTATTAGTCATGATTTTTTTAAAAATATATAATTATAGCACACTTTTTTTGAAAGTAAAATTTATCATATATGCTGTATTTTAAACATTTTGATATCCTGGATATAAATGGTAGTAATAATACTATTTGCAATATTTATCAATGACTTACTTAAATAGTAAACAATGGCTATGGTCTCATTAGACTAAAAAGCCCACAAGGTAAAAAACAAGCAAGCAAGAATAACTATTTGCTCTTCTAAAAATATACATTAGTGATACATTGACATTTCATTTCAAAATGAACACTTTGCTTAACAATGCATTGCAAGTAATTTTTGTCTAAAAATATATATATTAAGATAGAAAATAAAACCAGATAGATTGAAATGAATCAGAGTAGAGCATACATTGCTGAACTAATACCCGCCCGAAGCTTTCAAAAATATATTTATATTTTTCATTATGATTCTAAATTAAATAAATATTTCCTAGCAAACATGTATGTTAGGCAGAACCTGCTATATCATTATTCTTTAGTAAAAACAAGATAATTTTATTTATATAACATTGTAATAGTGGTTGAAAAAAAAAAGACTCATGTCACCAAGTTCCACCAACCTTCCACAAGAGATCTGTGACAAATTATGATAGGCAAAACACAAACTTAAAGCAATCTCCAATTGTGCCATACAGCCACAAAGAGAGCAAAAACCCTTCTTGAGACAAGAGTAAACAAACTATTATAGTCCTAAATACCCCAGTTTTGCAAAAATGCATCCTTCCTGTTTTGAATGGAACTATTGCCACGAGAGGCTATTGTAATGGTTATGTTGGCAGAAGTGCAATGGTGCCCCCAATGTAGAGTCAAGCCATTTTAGACTGGCATGATTTCTAACCACTTAGTGCTACTCCCCACATCTTCTATATATGACAGAGAGACAAAGCCCAAACAGATCATGTTCTTTCCTCTGCTCAGTAATGCTAAAGAAAGCTCCTTCTTAGAAGCTGCTGGCCTTTTTCATTGTCAGTTGTGGAGACCAGCAGACCCAAATATAAAGTCAAATCTCTCTGAAACAAGTTGTAGTGGGTATGGTGCTCGGAGTGTTCCATTAACTCTAATAAAATAATCGATGTTGATAAATAGTCCCACAAGCTGATTGTTCTTATTGTATCATTAAATTGGGCAAAAATAACATCCCTAGGAAATACGTGGAAACCAGAGCAATCTGTATGTACCTTTCCTGGTTAACTACTTTGTTGTTTTTATTATTATTATAGAGAACCGTTCTATTTTGTTCTATAGACTGATTGGAGGGGATGTGGCTGTGGGCACCTGGCAGGACCTGGATAAGTTGTTAAACCATACTAAAATAGTTTGAAATCGTACATGGAACTGCATCAGGGCACCATCATTACATATTACGTATTGGCTTTTTGAGGAACACTTGTGTTGGATAGGACTTAGACCATATTAAAGAACTGTCTAAAATAATCTGTACAGGCCAGCTCACTTGTATGGGGTTATCTGTCCAGTATTCTAAAATGATATTATCACATTGGCTTAGAGTTATGTATGGAGCCCATGATCACAGAATGTAATTTAGGCTAAAAGATCACCTTCAAGTTCATAATAAACTAAATGTACAAGACGAGGACAGTTAGTTTTCATTCTTGGCTGCATGTCATATTAAGTAGAAAGCAAATTTCAGTGTGCCATGTTTCAAAGTACACAGCACAGAGAATGTGTCACTAAACAAAAGGAGATCTGCAGAATTCAAATTATTACTGGATACATCCATACATTTTACATAGTGTAGAGTACAATGAAAAATGTCTAGTGTAATTAAATCACTCAAAGGCCCCATTCAGCCAACTTAAACCTGTCAATCATCCAACTTTTATCTGAAAATAAAACAACGATATTTGTTCGCATTAAGTTTAAACACAAGTCTCAATGCCTTATAAGGCAGATTAGTCCAGGACAGAGTGAGATAAGTTATTAACTATTTATATGCCAGGTAGATTTATGCATTTGTCTTTAAGCTACTATCAGGTTGTCCAGATGACATTAGACCAGGAATGGTCAAAGGGTAAATCCTCAACTTTTGTAGATCTACGACTCCTAAGATTCTCTGTCAGCATTTAGGCGGGTGAAGCATAAATGGAGATGAAAATCTAAAACAGATAGGCATCTACGGTTTGCCCATTTATGCTCTAGACCAGGCATAGGCAAACTTTGGCACTCCAGATGCTTTAAACTACACCTTCCATGATGCTTTGCCAGCATTATGGGTGTAAAAGCATTATGGCTGATGTAGTCCACAATATCTAGAGTACCGAAGGTTACCTATCCCTGCTCTAGACTGTAAGTTTAGAGCTATCAAGCACTTCTATACTGTGAAAAAAGGCTAAATAATGCAATAGCCATCTGTTTTACAATGTCAACTCTAAATGATATCAACATAAACTTCCTGGTTTATTTCAGTGGAGCTAAACTCAAGAGGCACACAATTGCCCAGAACAAAGGCTACTTATTGAGCTGCATTGGGAAGTCTGAGATTTGACAGCCAGAGAAGGTCTGGGTGTGGTTAAAAGGGGAGGGCTTGCAAAGGCTTCAAACAAGAGATCTGTAGCATTTGCAAGCTGTTTTTAGACATTTCCAGTGAAAAACATGAATAATTACAAGCCTGCATGTCTTTATTTGGGTATTTGTACTAACCTGTCATTTTGTGTTTGTACTTGAGCAATGGAGTGTCCCTTTTACTACCTTAGTATGCATTTTCCAATTTAATGTTGTCAGATGACATTGTTATTCTATTTCTTGGTAAATTTGTAATTTTCTTGTAGCAAGTACCCATACACAAATATACGATAGAATCGTTAAAAACACACATTTTGTTAGTTTGTCTGTTTTTTTTATTATTTTATTAAGTTATGGTATATATAATTTAAAAACTTAAACAAACAAAACATGTAAAGCATTGTAGATTGTTGAATGAAGATGTCATAACTTGCACCTCCCTAATCTTTCTAATAGATTGTTGTTTGAAGTCTTCCAAACTGGCCACTGCTATTATACTAGCAGGAATTCTCCTTTCCGAGGGCTAATTTCCTTACTAATGTTTCCCAAAGAAAAATATATCACAATTTGACATTTACAATGGCATTTTGTTTCTCATCTCCTGTTATCTCTATTACTTGTAAAATGCATTTTCAAGAAAATAATATGTTGCCACATTTTCCGAGTAAATGAATCGTCCATCAGGAATGCAAAGGTGAGGAGAAACATCTCAATTTCAAATCTAATCTCCGCCGCATTTCTGAAAGAATAAACAGTTGCTTACAAAATGAAAAGAAAAAAAATTGAGGAAAAAAAAATTGTGTTTCAGATGCAAACTAATTTTCTCGATGTTTTACCACAAAAATGTAAAATAAAAAAAGCTTTAAAAAAAATCTTGTAGCAAAGATATCTGCTAAAAATAGTTTGAAGATAATGACAAAAAAACAAGATAAAGCACATACCTAAGAGCTAGAAGTGCTTGACATGTTTTTTTTTGATAAATACCATAAAAACTGTTATCTTGTGTTCATATGATTGTTTCTTCCATGTTGGATCTCCCAGTGGTTTTCCAAAGCTAGGATAGCCAAGTAGTGATTATGGAGTAAATAATGACCAAAACTGTGCATAAAATTAATAAATAAATAAATATATATATATATACCATTATTTCTTCATTTAAAATTCCTAGCTGGGGCTGTTACTGGGGGGAGACATTACTACGATGACCCTTATGTGTTTTGGGCCTTACGGGCACTTTAGTGGATTTGGTTCTTGGCGTGTCCATTTAAGATTGCTTTTAAATTTGTCAAAAAGGTCTACTGACTAAGCACATCTACTTTAGTGTTAATGTTGGTTGGTGGTTATCAAATGACATTATTTTTTGTATAGACGGATTCCTATGTATCTTTGCTATTAGGTCACAGAATGTCACAAAGGCACCCATATGTCAACTAAGTGAAGTGGCCTGGGTGTAGTTGCCCTGTCATTTTAACCCTGCAATGGCATTACAGTTTTGTAGAACATGCAATATGTGTTTATTACTATCATTATTATTGGTATTTATATTATTTTGGCAGATTGGAGACTTTGCCCACAAACACTTGAGTGTATAGATAAGTTAAAAATGTATTTTATAAGGATAAAATAAATGTTTAACTTATCTATACACTCAAGTGTTTGTGGGCAAAGTCTCAAATCTGCCAAAATAATTTCTACTGGGGGTTATTCCCTCCCTATGCCTTCACAAAAAATCTATTGCGCTCCCTATTTTATTGGTATTTATATACCAATTCTGTAGCACTATTATATTATTGAAGGGGGAGATTTAACAATAAATTGACAATTACAAAATGTTACAGGAACAATAGGTGGATGAGGACCCTGCTCCAACAAGCCTACAGTCTAGACTAAAGGTGACCCCCCCCACCCTCTCCCTGTGAGAACTAAGTCAGACTGAGTCAAATGCTCCTCCTTTGGAATATGTGATTGGCGAAGTGCCACAATTTGTCATGGATGTGCACTAGCCTCTAAGCATTTCCTAACCTCTAAGCATTTACTTATGAGTAAGCATTGTATTGGTTTAATGATATCAGTCAATATGTGGAGCCTTGATGGTGAGACTAGCATGGAAAGGGAATAAAGATAAGTAAATCTCACCTTTTAAACAATCACAGGGAGAGGCACCAACATAGGTAGATTTAATATAGTTTTAGGAATACATGGGTTCCTATTAAGGCATGCTATGCAGTGTCATGCAATTGATATATAGATTTGGATTATTTATATGAGTGAGAAAACAAGCATAGTGAAGGTGATGAGGTTGCCGCATACTAGAGCACACGGCTTGGCTCATCCTCTCTGCTTGCAGAGCTGAGCCAAAATTCGTGTTCAGTTTGTCCTTTTAAATGTTCAGCAATCTGAATACTACAGTTTTGTGTACAACAATAAATGGGAATATTTACAAAAATTTTGCTTATCAGTTAAACTTTGATGGAACTGCCAGTTGAACAAAATAATTGTATGTTACCAAGAAAAGTGGTAATACATTTACATTTATCAATAAATATATGGGCTGGGTTTCAGAAGCATGTTTTCATTTGCCCAATGAGTATATTGTTGAAAGAAAAACACACAAATAAATTACTATAATAGACAACCATTATGAATCAAACACATAAACAGTACAACAACAAACAGGATATTTGCAACAATTCCTATGTGACTTTAATTATACTCATATGGCAGCTAGGATTTGGTGAGAATTTTAGATCAAATTACAATATGTAGTGCCAGAACAAAATTACAAAGTGTACAGCCAAATTTTCACATTAACTACATTTTTGCTTATCACATATATTTAAAATAATAGCACATTGGAGAAGAGACAAAATTGTTCTCTCCCATTCCAAAATAGAATAAAATAGATAACACGCTAATACATATAAAGATTGTTAGACAGGCAGACAAAGACAGACATATATTTTATTGTTAGATATATAAATTAAATAAAGTATAAACTACATGAAAAAAAATGTCAAGTTGATAGCTTATACTATGTGCTAAGATGAAAATATATATATGTTTTAAAGAAACACCATAGCATTAGGAATACAAACTTGAACTCATACTACTGTTGTGTTCAGCTAACTATTTAGATGTTTGCCCACTGCCCTCAACATTATCCAGCATCATTTAATGAGATCAACAGTCTTTGTGATCTCAGCTGTTCCAATGCTTCCCCATAGGGAAACTTTAGGAGCCTAGTGTGAATGTGCAGCACATCGCTGTGCTAATCAAATACAGTTCTGGGAGCAGCATTTGATTGAGAACTGAGTTTGACTCTGTTCTCAATACTGTAAGAAATTGATATGCAAAACTGCAATATTGTATATAACTTTCTGTGTATGTGACTGGTTTCACAACTTGGGGTCATCTACTTGACAACAGTGTGATAAGGATCAAAGATTTCAGTTGCAATTTACAGCACCCAGCTAACACAAAAGCTTACATCCCTCCAGCAGTTCTACTGCAAACCAGTTTTCCATACATGTTATCAGGAGATCAGAGATCAGGAGACCTGGAGTAAATAACATCTAGGTGTAACCCTGGAAGTATGTGTTTTCCCAAGCCGTCCTGTCTCTAAAAGAAGTCAAAGCATGCTCCCAACCTACCCAAAAACCAACCCTAACTAGTCACTTCTTACACAATGTTACAGTACAGCTGGGGAGAAGAGATCAAAGAAAAGCACTTGTGTAAAGATGGAACTCTCTGGGAAAAGAGTGCAGGATAAACCACTTTTGGGAGGGAAGATTGATTCTGGGACATGTAGTTAACCTGCAAGAATCAGTCGTTAAAAGAACCAAGGAGGTTGGGTTCCTCTTTTTCTCTCTTTTGGGGAGGACAGCGCAGCAAGCAGTGGTGCCATGGTGAGCTGAGAGACTGTCCCAGACTACCAAAGATGAAGGCGCAAGGGGATGATCTTCATTAAATGTCTTCGTATTGCCCTTTTACTATGTATATTTTGACTATGTACTGGATATGGTTATATGTGTAATGCGTATATCCTTTTTAAATATGTAACAGTATCCTAAATCAATATTAACAATACATTTTATTATACACTTGTGCTTGTTTCTTACGTCACTCGTTCCCTAAAAGAATATCCTTGTAAGAGGGTCATAATTTCTAACATACAGAAGACCTCCAGTGGTTGTCTGGAAGACAAAACTGCTGTTTTATATTGCAGGGTTAAAATGATAAGACCAATACACCCAGACCACTTCATTGAGATAGACTCTTTATGAAATACTCATTTTGACTGTGTTGGAATTTCACTGAAATTCCAACCCAATCAAGAGATATACAGAGACAAAGTAGGGACCTTGTATATTTCCACTGCCTGACTTTCTTAGACTATGGGCAGAGCCACAGTGTCAACCCGACAGCTGTCACCAGTGTCTCTGTCTGTGGAGCATCCCGCAGTCTAGCAGTATCCTCCATAATTGAAGAGGACCTACCAGAACAAGGTGGCCATGCCCACAAGGGACAAGTAAAGTAAGTAAATCTCACATTAGCCTGCTTCCACGGCCACCGTACCCCCAGTGGTGATGTCATCATCGGGGGTGTTTGTGAATTGGCAAAGTCCCCAAACAATAACAATGCTACTTTATTAAGCAGTGTGGGGGAGATGATTACTCTCACTAGATAGTCCATTTGATTCGTATCATCGCAAGTCATGTTTTTAATGTTGATACAGACTTAAAACATTTAATGTGTTTGGATAATCAGAGGTGTTCATAAAGTCACGTACAGAGGATATAAAACTCAATACACTGATAATTCATCTGACAAGTATCCACAAATTCACAGTTACTTAGCAAACACTGAAGTTTAAATGGATTTTAATGCAATGTGAAGAAATCTTTTGCAGGAAGTGATAAACTTGATATATGCCAGCCAAATATAAAAATGTAAATTTCTTCAATGAAATTTTGTGATTCATAAAACCTTTTTCTTAGCTGAATTCTGTTTAATGGCAATGTATTAGTTTACATAAATTTCCAAGGAGAAAGACAAGTGGACATCATTGGGAAAATTGGACAAATACTCGAGGATTGTTCCAACTCTGAATTTTGTTCTACATTGTACAACACATAGTTAGTTCACTAATCGTTATTTTTCAAGCCATCACATGGCTACATTATTTAAACAATTACCACAATGTTGACTTTTCTGAGGGTAGTTCTATTATGTTTACGTTGAGCCAATCTTTGTCAACTGTCTTGTATTTCCAATGGATTGGGAACCTGTTTTCCCATTCTTGTAATCATCTCCGTAAATTACTAAAGAAGAAATAATGAGATTTACACAGTGCTTCAACTAAAGCAATGGGGGGCCAAGATTGACAAGGAAATCCCAGCTACTACCTGCTCTTTGACATTGCATAATACATTTATTTGACACAATTACATGGAAGACAACATGTGTCAATGCTAATGCATTTGTACTCTATCCAAAATCCTAGAGCTGATAAGGAATATATTGTCAGATGTTTACATATGGCGAGATTGTTTAAAAACCAACCACTGTTTAACAGCTTTAAAACCCAATAGGGGGTGCACTTATTACAATGTTGACCAATGTGTAATTTTTTTTCTTTCAAACTTTTACAACATTGTGTACATTTCAATGCTTCCAGCATCACTGCTTCAGTGTTTATATTTTATAAAGCAAGCAAGCAATTTATATATTTTTATATATTCCTTCTTGGAAGCTGGGAGATGTATGATGTAATGAACACAACAGCAGATTACTAAAATGTAACTCTTTGTGTGCTCTTAAATACCATTTTAGGCACTCATGGGGTTAATAGTGATTGAAGCAATCAACAATAGCAATGAGGATGCAACTGAGAGGTAATTAGGTGCATGCTTTATGTTCTATTAAATGGTACTTAATTAAAAATGAGAAATCAAATTAACTAAAATAGAGAAAATTACACTGTGGCTGTTGGTCTATTTTTCAACCTTGACATGTTTTTTTCTGACACAGGGTTATTAACTAAAGTGGGTATAGTCAGGAATTCAAAGTTAATTTCAAATTTAAAGTCAAAATAGCCTACGTGCAAAATTTCTCTGAGTCAGCTAAATATCACATTGAGCAAATTAGACATAGAATTTCAAATTCACTTTAATTTTATTTTGAATTTCTGTCAATATATAATTTATTGAATAATCCTGTCAACCTCAAAAGTAGAAATGGAAAGTAAATCATACATTTTCGTGATCAATACTGAATTCCAGTTTAAGGTACACTGTCAGGTACCTAGCCTTTCTCTACCTATGTGCTGCCTCAGTTAGGAGGACATGCTAACAAGACTTGTGAAACAAAAAAAAGTGCTATTCATCTAAATAAAATGCCTATTAAACTATACTTAAACAAATCAATGAACAAATTCTCCTGAAACAATCTCACCTTTTCAGGCAAAACCACAGGTAACATAATTTGGAATCAAATCGTTTAGCATTCACCAAGAATTCTATTTGGATATATTGTCTCGAAACATTTTTGGAGGTCTAAATTTATAACGTCATCATTTTCATATTGTGGTGATGCCATCTGGTGTTTCTGGTAAAGCATTGTGAAGTTCAGTTGGGTAAGTGTGTGCTCCTGACTGAGGGCACCACACAAGTGGAG